AAAAAAAAAAAAAAAAAAAAAAAAAAAAAAAAAAAAAAACTACACGTAAGCAGAAAGTCAAAGATTTTTTTTAAAAACCTGAAAGAAGTCACATGTCGAGGGGTGGGGACCACCTTACAGAAGAGAAAGAATTACATCACCTTCTCCTCACAAACCATGTGAGCAAAAAGAAAGTGAAGTGAAATATTTAAAGTATTGAGAGAAAAAAACCACCAATGTATAATTTTATATCCTGCAAAGACACCCTTCAAAAGTGAAGGAGAAAAACTTTCTCAGACAAACAAAAATAAGGAATTTGTTGCCAGTGGACCTGCCTTGCAAGAAATGTTTAAAGAAGTCCTTTAGAAAGAAGAAAAATAATATAGGTCAACTTAGCTTTTGTTTGGGAGGTAGGTGCTACAGGATTCTATACAGCATTTGTCCTTGATAATACAGAATCATCATTTATATGCTCTAAGTATGGTTGTAGAAACACAAGATTTGGAATCTAGTGACTCAGGTGCTTGCTTACTCAAAAAAAAAAAAAAAAAAAAGACTGTTAAATTACCCTTTAATAAAATAAGTGTGACTGAATGACCTTTGTGCAGAGAGTAACATGGAGACCTTTCTACAAATTAATTAATAAGCTGGAGTGCAAAGGCATGATCTCTTCCTAACCAGCAGAGTGATCATAATCTCTAGCTGCTCTGAGTTTCTCTTCCCTTATTCAAAAAACGATCTGTGTGCATCTTTGCTAGGCACTGTGGTGGGCATCTGAGGTAAGAGGATAAAAACATCTTCATTTCCTTGAAGATTTCATTCTTGCTGGCAGGTATGAATGAGGGAGCAAAATTAGATAAATTTAGACATAGGTCCTTTTGAGTTTTAAAATTCTGTGATTCTATGCTGTTATTATGTAGCATCTAAGTGAAGCTACTTAATTCATTGCTTTTAATAAAATATCCATATTTAGAAATGTATTATTGACACCTCCAATCAGGTACTTCTAAATAAAAGGCAGTGAAACTCAAACTTTTCTTCTTTCTAAAGAACTTCTTTCCAATTTGCTATTTGTTGTAGGAGGAAACAGTGGCTGTAATTAATGTTGAAGATTAGGTGATGATAATTCTTTGCATTCCTATTACCCATACTGCATTTGCTCTTTATTGCCACAGATCATTGAGCGCTAGCTGGAGAAAAGCATAATGAAAATGTTTTATGAACTGAGAAATATTCTTGGCTGACTTTCAAAGCTTCAGTAGGAAACAAAAACCATAAAACTGACATCCTAGAAAATCAAAACCAACTCTATGAAAAAGTTTAAATACAAACGTTTAATCACTAACATAATGAAATGATTTCATAAAACTTTATTATCTGCTAGACAAGCACAACACGATAGGGGAAAATGTTCAGCTA